GAACTCACGACCTCGCGCTTGCCAGGCAAGTGCTATGCTGCTGAGCTAAATCCCCAGCCCCTATTTCTTATTTTCATCAAACAACTATTATTCTTAATTTTTCCTTATATTTGAAAGATGATAACAGCTCAGACTAAACCACTTGTGAAGTTGAATTCTAACACTTTAATAGAAAAGAAGACTGATGAAAAAAGAGTGTAAAGGATTGCTTAGTAAAAGACAAATTTATGGGTTTCCAAAAGTGGTTAATAAATGCTAGGAAGATTCTTAATCCTCTAGAGTTTCTACTTAAAATTTAAACTTGTTTACATGCATCCCAGGTTTTTTTTTTTCAGTACTAATATACAGGCACTCCTTGTGTAACAACTAGTTCAGTTCCTGTAACTGGATTGCTAAATGAATTGGGCATTAAATGAAGAATTGTGGACAGTATGTACATTACAATATTCAAAACAAAAAAGTGGTCAAAGGAAACTCCAACTTGATGACTTTGCTTTTATTTGCATAACTCTTAACATGCAGTACTGTAATGTCTAACAGCATAAAGCTACAGTACTGTATAGTACAATCAGCAGAAATTACATACTGCATAAACAAGATGTACTTGTAAAAAAAAAAGACATTGAAGCTCTATAAGTAAGATGTATAGAAGAGTACAAAGAAAGACGGGTGCTAAGTATGAACAGCATGCCTCCGCAGTCAGTCCTGACAGTTGTTAAATGGGTAGGTCATTAAATGAGGAACATCTATATATTATTTTCACTTTTTAAAAATGTGGAATAAGCCAGGCATGGTGGCACACACTTGTAATCCCAGAACTCTGGAGGCTGAGGCAGGAGGATCACTGTGAATTCAAAGCCAGCCTGGGCTACATAGTGAGCTCAAGGCCAGCCTGAACTACATAGCAAGACCCTGTCTCAAAAAAAGCAAAATGAAACAAAAAAGGTGGAATAAAAGTAAGGAGATGTGTTTAAGAGGATGCCAGTGGCATTGCTGTATCCTAATCTTTAGTTCCTAGGTTTAAATCATATACAGTCTGATGAATTCACTGCTTTGAAACATTTATTTTTCTCCATTGTGTAAGATTAAAGCAACTAGGGCTATTTAGCTCAGTAAAGTGACAAGAGGAACATGGGAACTGACCTCAGACAACTGAAGCATTGTCATGTGGGAAAAGATTTGGCTCATTTTGTGTAGTCCCAGTGGATTTATGTGTGGAGTTTAAAGGGAGACAGTTCTGTTCAGTTTAAGAAAGAACTGTGAGGCATACTCAGTGGGAGTTGGCTGCTGGGAAGGGAGAGCAGTGGTCAGACCACCTAGAAAGTTGGGAATCTGAATGAATGGCTGACTTCTGGGTGTATGTGGTGGATTCAGGTGATGTCATGTATCATCGGACCTGTCCCACTCTTGTTTACCAGGAAATAGGGATGAGCGGTAGAAACCAAATACCTAATACAAGGTAAGAAAGGAGAGAGCTACAGCAAAGAGAGGATGAGAAGGGAAATTGAGGGTTCAGTATGTCTCTCCCACCCATTAGAGCCCAACATAGCTCATGTTTTCTCTGCCACGGATACTTAGTAAATTGTTGGCTCTTCTTGCATAAAAGGTTGTTCTGTAGAACTTGAGGATTTTTTGGCATGGTCACAGAGACTGAGCAGTTCTGCTTTTGTAATAAGCTTCTTACTGGAGACATCAAATGATGCTGAGTCAGAAGTATCCAGGTTGTGGATCTTAGGGTACAAGGAACAGTTCTGTCAGTTGATTGTTTTCTTTCTAGTAATTTTCACAGTTTTATCTCATTACATTAAACTAAATGTCAATAGGAGGATTCAGGCTGAGATAAATTCTCAATGTTTGGGTGTCTGTAGTAAGTAAAAATGTATGAACATTTTTAGCACTGGAGATTGATGTAGGAAAAAAGGCTGAAGCTGAGCATGGTGGTGCACGCCTGTAATCCCACCACTTGGGAGGCTGCTGCAGGAGGATCACCCCAAGTTCAAGGGGCTCCATAGTGAGTTCAAGGCCTGAACTACATAGCAAGACCCTGTCTTTCCCCACCTCCAAAAAAATTGACATGCTCTTGTTTTCAAGCAAGATTTAGTGATTTCTGGGGTCGGGTCAGGTAAGAGTTGGATGTCAAGACTGGATTTAATTCTTGCCTCTACTATTCACTGCCTGTATCACCTTAGACAAGTAGCCTAACTTGTGAGCCTCAACTTTTTCATCTGTAAAGAGATACTATTTCTCATAGAGTCAGTGTGCATATAAATGGGATAATACATGTAAAAAAGTATGTACATGGTTAAGACCTTAGTAAATGTTGCCTACTTTATTTCTGTGGTAGCAAACTTACTCTATTATTATAGTTATCAGAGGTCAACTCGAAATGGGTTGAGTATAGGCCTCTTTTTGTTTGTTTTGTGTTTTGAGACAAGGTCTTGCTATGTAATTCAGGCTGGCCTTGAACTCACTGTGTAGCCCAGGCTGGCCTTGAACCTCGTAGTGATCCTCCTGCCGCAGTCTCCCATGTGCTGAGATTAGGGATGTGCACCATCATGCCTGGCTAATTCCACAGTTTGAATAGAAAGAAACCATCAGGGGAAAGGGGAAAGAGATTATTTAGAAGTAGTAATAGATACTCTTCTACCTTTATTTCTTTTTCCCCCTTCTCTAAAGAAAGATTCAGGTAGAAGTAGGTTGGTAGATTTGGGAATCTTCTGAATTAAGATACACAAAGTGGTTGAGGTTGTTGTGGTAGTGAAAAATGGAAAGGGTTGAAGATTAAATCTGAGGTGGCACAGACATAGGAGGAAGGAGTTGCTTTATTATACTGGAAAGTGCAGCTGAAAGTTGGGAGATCTGGGTTCTAGTCTCACTCTCTTTATTAATGGATGGTGCATCTCTAGGCCTACCACTTTCCTACTTACAGACTGGACTGGATCACTAAGGCTTATTTAGTAACCAGATTTCTCTGTCTAAATCTACTTGGAACCAAGAGCAGGTGAATCAAGATAGAGTCATGTCCCAGAAACAGGAATTTGATAAGGCAGTAACGTCATGTTATAGAAATAAAGGAGGATGAGGGCTGAGGAAGAGGAGAGGTGCCCAGGGGACCAGTTTGTCTAGAATAGGACAGACAATATCTGCAATGTGAGATTTACTGTGGAACACCTACCTGGTAATAAGAGTTATTCCAGATCTTCTCACTGACTTTGTAGATAGCATAGATGTTAATAAAATCTACCTGAATTTAAAAAAAATGTAATTATGTGTTCTTATCAACAATGTATAAATTGAACTATTTGAGGATTTTTTCAAATTTAAGGTTAGAAGAAAACTTTCAGTCTGATGCTGGATAAGATACAGCTAAGTCTTCTCTTGGGAATTTTAATTATAATTCTTTTAATTGTAATTCTTGAATTTTTTTTTTTTTTTTTTGTAGACTGATTCTTTTCATTATGGATGGAGGGGATGATGGTAACCTTGTTATCAAAAAGAGGTTTGTGTCTGAGGCAGAATTAGATGAACGGCGCAAAAGGAGACAAGAAGAATGGGAGAAAGTTCGAAAACCCGAAGATCCCAAAGGTAAATGATTGGCCTGTGGCTGGACAGATAGCATGATAATCTTTAGTCCTTACAGTGACCCTATCAGTGAGGTATAATTTTCTCCACTTTAGCACTGAGCCCAAGCTCAGAGAGTGAAATAACCTATGTAAGGCCTCTGTAGCATACCCAACTCGTATCCTTGCCCTTTCCTCTCTGCCACACTTCCTTCTAGAAGATTCTTCCAGATTATTTCTTTTATGTGGATGGATACATGCTCTGAGCAACTGATAGTGCTACTGCAGTGGAGGGTTTGAGCTGGCCCCTCATCCAGTTAACTCTCAGGCTCTGGGTCCTACTGACACTGATAGTTGGCTTTGAGAACTTCTGGTTCCTCTCTGAGGTCCAAAGGGAAGCTATGGTCTTTGTACTATTTTTGTTTTATCCTGCCCTCAGTTTAGGCAGAGACTTGGCTTTATGTTTAAAACTCTTGTGATTCCAAAATAATACTATAAAGTATATATTTCTTGTCTCTCCCCATCTCTCTCGTATTCCTTTCAGAATGTCCAGAGGAGGTTTATGACCCTCGGTCTCTCTATGAAAGGCTACAGGAACAGAAAGACAGGAAGCAGCAAGAGTATGAGGAGCAGTTCAAATTCAGTAAGCTTCAGAAAATACAGTCTGAGGGACTCCACAGGGCCTTTTTGATGTACTTTTGCCTCATGCCATACTTTCTAACTAGCAGTGGAATTGTCTTGATTATCTACTCTCCAGATGTTCATTTGGTAGAAAAGAAGGAGCTTTCTTTCTTCTAAACCTCATTGAACATTTTTGTTTAGAGCTCAAGATACCCATTTTAATTCTATGCTAATATTTAGTAATGGGAAAAATGCCTTGATTTTATGGCATATTATCTATCTAAAAGCCCGGGTGTTTAACTGTTCTTTCTTCTAATACCCTGAAGAACCCATTGTTTATTCAAAAAGGGAGGGGTGGAGGAAGGAAAAGTCAAATAAGACTATATTTTCTCTTTAGTCTACTTGGTGTTCCTTATTCAATTATTTCCTCAGAAAACATGGTAAGAGGCTTAGATGAAGATGAGACCAACTTCCTTGATGAGGTTTCTCGGCAGCAGGAACTAATAGAAAAGCAACGAAGAGAAGAAGAACTGAAGGAACTAAAAGAATACAGAATATCCTTTGTACTTTGAGACATATCTGTGGTGTCAATTTCCTCATAAATAGAAAGAGGGTCTTTTATTTGTTAATCTTTAGCCTATTTCTACAGTTATTCCCATCACTCGGAGTGACTGGTAGTGACTTGTAGAGTCTGTTACATGCAAGAGTTTTTTGGGATCAAAAGTCCATGCCCTTTAGGATTAACTGTGGACATAAATCCTAGTAGTCAGTAGCGGGATATCCTTATCTTGCGGGATTAGACTCAGACAGATGGGCAATGCAGTCATCCTCATCCAGGGGAAAAATTGGCTTCAGACTTTTAAAAGGATATGCTTATCAACTCTCCTCTGTTCTTAGCAAGATCCTCACCCTTGGCACCACTTGGTCCTTCCTCATAGAAAGCAACAAAGATTAGTTCTCTTTGGCTCAGCATTGCCTTGTTGGAATCCACGTGAATGTCTTAATAGGCTTCCCAAAATGTGATGTGGCCGAATCCAAATTCTAATTCCATGTCACTCCTGCAGCGTGCTTCCTCTGCTGTCAGCCAGTCTCTTCTTTTTCTGGCTTTCCAGTTCCAGTAACTGATGCTTCTGTGCTCTTAGCTGCCTGGGCCAAAAATTGCTTCCATAATATACTCAAGATCTATCTAATTCTTGCTGTCTCTACTGCCCCAGTAGCAGTTGTGGACATCCCTCTGGACTGTTAATGATCTAACTGGTTTCTTTAAAAAACATTTTTTTCCTCCCAAAACATTTGTCACATTTAGTGTATAAAATCAAATTTTCAGATCTACATATATGAACCATATTCCAGTTGGACTGTTTCTACTCTCATCTCCAACATTGTTCAGTAAAGGGAACTTTAAAAAACTTACATGGCATCATGTTACTTCCTATGTGAAACACTCCAGTGGCTTTCTGTTGCATTTAGAGAAACATCTACATTATGAGTGCTTACACAGGGCTCTACGTGATTTAGGCCAACCCACATCCCTGTTGGCATCTTGAAACCACTTTCTCACATGTACTCAGCTTGTTGCCTTCTTTATATTCCTCTCTCACACCAAGCTTTGATTCTGTCTCAGGGCCTTAAACTTGCTAACTTCTCCGCCTGAAATGTTCTGCCTTCACATTTTACAATGCTATCGTATCACAGTACTTAGTTCTCAGCTCAAAACTCTCACAGAAGCCTTTGTTAAGCACCCATCTGTATTTACTCCCACTCTGTCACTGTCTACTATTTTGCACTTACTGTGTCAATGTCTACCATTTTGTTTTGCCTTTTGGTTTTTTTGGTATTAGAGCTTGAGTCCAGGTTCTTGTGTATGTCAAACACATGCTATGCCACTGAGCCCTACGCGGTGCCCTATACTGTAATAACTTTTTTTTTTTTTTTGAGACAAGGCATCTCTATGTAGTTCAGGCTGGCCTTGAATCACTGTGTAGCCCAGGTTGGCCTCGAGCTCAAGGTAGTCCTCCTTCCTCGGCCACCTGAGTGCTGGGATTACTGGTGTTTACCACCACACCTAGGTGTAATACCATTTTTAAAGACAGTACTGTCACTATCTGAAGATCTTTTGTTTGCTTATCTTTTTTTTTTAATGTATGAGACTGGGGATTGAACCCAGGGCTTCATACTGAGCAACATTTCTAGCTCTTTTTTATTTTTAAACAGACTTTTTTTTTTTTTTAAACAGACTCTTAAGTTGCCAAGGCTGGACTTGAACTTGTAGTCTTGCTGCTTCATCTCCACTGGTGCTGGTATTACAGGCATGTATCATCATGCCTGGCTTGCTTTACTTTTTTATTGCTGGAATGTAAAGTAAGTTCCATAAGGAGTAGGAATTAGTACTGATTTTTCCAATATCTGGTGTGTAGCGGTTTCTCAGTAAGTATGTGAATAAATTAAAGTATGACTCAGCAGATGTTAATAATGCAACTGTTAACTTTTTTTCCACCTGTGGGGATGCTTGTTTGGATATTTCAAATTTATATTTTGAGTAACATCACTACTATATTTGAATAGGCTGGCCGTCTAAGATTGGTGATGTGACTTTGTTTGTACTACTTGGCATTTTCTTGCAGGGAGTGTGCAGTAGATTCCATATTAAGTTGTATGGGAGCAAATGTGGACAGATCCCTTTGATTCGGCTTAGATTTGAACTGGTAGCAAAAGTTCAGCCTCCCAGTTGCTTTCTAATTAGTGTCATTCAGGTGCAAAGTGAGGGTAGGAGTTGATGGAAAGTTACACCTCAATCTCAGTTGTAGGACTGAGATTGAGTTTTCTGAATTCTCCTCCATCCCAGCTCTGATGAGCTAAGAATACGTGCTGAAATTTGTAGGACTAGGCTCATACATGTATATACTAGCACTGTTTTAGATGCCACCTTTTTTTCCTATAGGAAATACATTAATTACACTTTTACTTGACCAGCAAATAAGACATAGACTGTCTCCCAAAGGAGTGTTCTGGAGAATAGGGCTGTGAGTTGGATGCCTTTCAGCTTCTAACTAAAAGGAAAGAAAAAACAGAAACTTTTGTGCCCTGGTAACAGTGCAGTAGATTTTTTTTTTCTTCTTGGTACCGGGAATTGAACTCACAACCTCATGCTTGTCAGGCAGGCGCTGTGCCGCTGAGCTACATCCCCAGCTAACAGTGCAGTAGAACACTGAAGATGCTCCAAGGGCTATTGGCTTTAATTAGGAACCTGGGAATTTCTGACTCCAGAAAAAGTGATGAAAAGCAGGCTTGCCAGCTAGTGATGTGTAATGTACAGTCCCAAATGTAGAAGTAGCCAGAGCCTCGTTGAAATAGGAATGGGAGGATCAAGCATTGGTTTATTAGATTAGGACCTGGCTCTTGGCTTTGCTAATTATCACAATAATTTTATAATGTGATACTTGATATGGTTGAATACAAATAAGCTGTGTTTTGTGCCATGTAAACCAGAACTTGAGTTGTTCCCTTTTAGATTAAATTAGTATTAGCAATATTATGAATATTTAAAACTATGACTCTTTTAAAAATGCCTCATCTAATAAACTTCAGATTTTTGAAGTGTATTAATGCTGTTTAAAGCATTTTGAGGGGAGTAGGACTTAAGGGGGAAAAATCTCAGACTTGGGTGTGGATCAAAAGTAAGGTACTACCACCCTCTCACCTTAAAAAATAAAAAACAAAATGTTAGTTTTGTTTGTGTCCTGGTGTTAAAGCTCTTGTTATTTTTTCTTTTTTGTTTTTGTCTTTTTGAGACAGTATTTCACTATACAGTTCAGGCTGTCCTTGAGCTCATTTTGTAGCCCAGGCTGGCCTTGAATTTGCAGTGATCCTCCTGCCTTGTGCTCCTGAATGTTGGGATTACAGGTGTGTACCACCACACCCATATTTTTGTTTGATGTTTAAATATTTAATATTGAGAGTTTTCTTCCAGGTTTCTGTCCCTTTGTGTTGGAGGTACAAGTGAAAATGACCACATGCTAATGGTTGTAGGCATTCTGTGCTACAAAAATGAAATACCTGTTTCTTCTGTTTTTTATAAAAATGAACATATGGTACTAAGATGTTTCTGTGATCATCTTAAAAGCATTAAATTGATGGAATTTAGAATAGTACTAAGCATTATACATAATCTCCACTGAATATTGCAGCTGTTTAAGGTAGCCAGCACCTGTAAGAACAGTTAGTGTTTAAAGAATGATCAGAATGAGAGGGTCTGTATTTCTGGTACCTTGCTTTCTCTATTGCTAAAGACACATAGATAACCTCAGCTATGTATCTTCCACTTCTACACTGTTTTGGGCTACTTAGATTTCTTGGGCACTAGGTGTCACTGTTGTGCCAGTAAGGCGCTATTGCAATTTTTAAGAACTTGCACCAGAACTGAACAAAACTTATCTGTTGTCAAATAAGTTGTGAAAAAGAGCAGAAAATAAACAAGAGGGAGCTGGTGGAGAGAGCAGTCGGAAGTGACAGACCTTGAGAGCCCCCAGGTTGACATCAAGTATGAAAAGGTGATGTGATATGTGCTCTGTTTATTCTTTTAAAATAGCCATCCAGTTCTTGAGTTGTGTTTGCACAGGGTTTCTTATTAAAATCACCTTAAGGGGCTGGGGATTTAGCTCAGCGGCAAAAGCGCCTGCCTGGCAAGCGCAAGGTTGTGAGTTCGGTTCCCGGTACCGGAGAAAAACCAAAAAATAAAAAAATAAAAAAAATAAAATCACCTTAAGAGAATAATAAAACCAACTCCTGGGCATCTAGAGTGGGCTGGGGCAGAGGAGGAACCATGTCTCAAAATAAACAAGCTGGATTTGACTGGCAGAGTGAGGGAGGGGGCTTATTGATTGATTGATAGATTGATAAGTAGGCCAGATACTACATGGTACTGCCAAAGGGTCAGTGGGTTATATTTATCACCCTTCTTATGATTTATCATCACTCTGGGACAGCTCTTCCTTTTGCTTAGTTTAACCCTTAACCTGTAACTCACAGTAATCTCAACAAGGTTGGAATGTCTGCAGAACACAAGAAAGAAGTGGAGAAGAAACTGCCTGTGAAACCAGTAGAAACCAAGAACAAGTTCTCCCAGGCGAAGCTGTTGGCAGGAGCTGTGAAGCATAAGAGGTTAGCCAGCTCTCAGAGTAAATCCCTCTGTATGTGCCACTAGTGGTAGCCAGGGCCGAAGGTTACTTAGCACAAGTCTCTGTGAAGTTCCTTCAGAGTATTCACCTCACTCTTCTTCCAGATTTGGCATCTTCTGTAGCCTTTGACTCTTGTCTCTTTGGTCATTCATTCCACCAAAATGATAATAGTTCTTCTTCATTGAGTGCCTTCTCATGTCAAGCATTGTTAAGTGCTTCCTGTGAATGATCTTATTTATTCATGTCACCAGATCTAGGAAGTACATATTGTTATAACCCATTTTACAAATAAGAAGAGCCAGAACTTCAGAGATTGAGAACTTTTCCCCAAGGTTACACAGTAATAAGGCAGGAGTTCAGTATTAGAACCTCTGTGTTTCAAGGCAAATGAGGTAGCAAGTCCTGTGAAAGGATTACATGGGGGGGCCGGGCGTGGTGACGCACACCTGTAATCCCAGCACTTGGGAGGCTGAGGCAGGAGGATCGTTGCAAGTTCGAGGCCAGCCTGGGCTACAAAGTGAGCTCAAGGCCAGCCTAAACTGCATAGCGAGACCCTGTCTCAAAAAGACGAAAAAAGGGGCTGGGGATTTAGCTCAGCAGCACAGCACCTGCCTGGCAAGCGCAAGGTCGTGAGTTTGATTCCCAATACCAGAAAAAAAAAACCAAAAAATAAAAGGATTACATAGGGGGATAATGAGAGAAGGAGGAGGAACACAGCTCTGCCTGACAGCTGCCTGTGCTTACGCTGCAGAAGTGAGGGAAGACATTAGAAAGATACTGACGGTAGAACCTTAGGGCTTTGACGGGGCAGGCAAAGCAGAGAACATCCCAAGCAGAGGGAACAGCTGCTGCAAAGGCATTGAAAGAATATGACAGTTGTGACAGGGTTGTGGACCTGGCCATGGCCCAGTTTGATTGATATGGTAGCACCTAGAACTTTTGCTAAGCTTTGTCATGTTTGCCCCTTCTTTCTGAATCCTGAAATGGCACTAGAGTGATTGAATCTGGTCACTTCAGTTTGACCATCCAGGCCATGGGCAAAATGGTATTAAAGTTCAGTCTATTAGGAAAATGAATGTGGTATTTTGGCAAGCAGCCACATGTTTTGAAGAGAGTGTGTTGATGGAGTCTTGCAGTTTGGCACATCGTCCATCTGCTATAGATGTTCCTGGGAACATCGCCTTCATGTAAAAATGTCGTCATGGAACAGCAGCAGAGGAGAGGAGTGAATAGCCTGAAAAAGGTCTGATGACAAGCTGCAAATTCTTTCAAGAACTCATGTGAGCACCAGACAAATTTCAGTGTCTAATAGGATTTGGGCCCTGAGTCACTGTCACTGGACTGGGCCAATCAAGAGCTCTTGGTGGTGCAGACTGGGTATTGGCTCCTTACTTAGTCTTTAGATCACCTTTAGAAAGGGCTCTGCTAGCTTATTTGGAGATCTGTATAGAACCCCCTGTGGGTTTTGAAACTATATCATTTAATGTTGCTTTGTGACAAATCAACCTCCTAGGGCAAGAGTGCCTCCTAATCTATACTGTCCTGGCCTTATTAGATCCCCTGGGAGTCTATGAATAATATAGGTTCTCTGCCATGGAAGGTGGCCCACACCTATAATCCCAGCACTGAGGAGGAACAGGCAAGAGGTTTGCCACAAGTTCAAGGCCAGCCTGGTTACGTAGTAAGTTGAAGGCCATCCTAAATTACATAGCAAGACCCTTAAAAAAAAAAAAAAGTACTGTAGATTCCCTGGCCTCACATTAATGCTGGTTCAGGAAGTTTAGAGTGAAGTGTGGGAGTCTGAATTGTTAAAAGTTCCGTGGATGATTCTGATGCCTGGTAAAAGTCTGGAAGCCACTAGTGTCTGTGTGTATGAGGCATTAAAAACAAAACAATTACCTTTTTCATACCTTCTTCAAAAGATGGTCTTTTGCTCTCTTCAAGTTTAATTCTTTTATTTATTGTTATAAATGGAATTTTCAGCCTTTTCAGTTAGCATCCAGAGCTATAAACATTACCCAGTTTTCATTGGATACAAATTTTGTATTTCCTTCTAAACTTTTTAAAATTTCTACTGATAACATTAAGTCAGGAATAATTGAGAAGCATATTTTAAAATTTCCATATTCAGTTAACTTAACCACATTTCATTGGTTTATGTGGTTCTCAGCCACAGCTTGACATCTTATCATTAATGGAACCTTATAGGGTATTAAGCATCATATTCATCTTTTGTTATTGATTTCTAATAATTGCATTGTTTGTATATACTGATTCTTTTGAGGTAGCTTTAGACTTTGTCACTCATTCCTAAAGTTAATGCTTGTGAATATTCCAAGTAACTTTGAGGAGAATCATCGTTTTATAATTGTTGGTTCTGGGTTCTATTTAGATCAAACATACCAAGTTTGTTTATTCTACTGTTTAAATCTACTGTTTTTCGTTTGCTGGCCTTATCAATGCTTGAGAGAAATATTTTCAAATTTTCCACTACCACAGTGTTTGCTTGATTTCTCTTTGTAGTTTTGTTGAATATATATTTTGGTGTGTTAGATGCATAAATGTTCAGAATTGGTATTTCTTCATAACAAATCAAATTTTATTAAGTAAGCTTTCTTTTATAATGCTTTTGGTCTCAAAGCCTATTTTCCTAATATTCACATGGGTACCCTAGCCTTCTTGAGACTAGTATTTGCTATAGTACCTTGTTTTTGTTTGACTTTTTTTGAAAGAGGGGCTTGCCACATGATCCAGGCTGGGCTTTAGGTTGCTGTGTAGCCTAGGCTGGCTTTCCAACCCTCCTGCCTCAGCCTCCCAAGTGGTGGGATTATAGTCATATACCACTGTGCCTAGCTGCTATAGGACTTCTTTTTCATTCTTTTACTTTTTCTTTGTTCTTTTACTTTTAATCTTTGTAGATACTAAGTTGTTCTGCTTTTCTTTTAATAAGTTTTTAGATGTATCTCTTAGAAATAGCTGCTTCTAAATTTATTTTCTTAATCTCTTTTTCCTAGGAGGTTTTTCTATTTATATTAAGATTTTCTTCTGTAATTTCTACCACCTTATTGTTGTCTTTTTACTTTTTAAAAATATTTTTCCTTCTATTTCTTTTTAAAATATGATTCATCCCAGCACTCAGGAGACTGATGCAGGATTGCCACGAGTTTGAGGCCAGCCTCGGGTATGCAGTGAGTTCAAGCCTACCCTGAACTACACAGTGAGACCCTGTCTCAAAAAAAAAATATGATTCAGGTTTTAAAATCTCACGCATATTTCTTTTAACTTTTTTTTTTTTTTTTTTTTAAGTTTTTGGCAGTACTGGGGATTGATTCCAGGGCCTGAACATTGAGCTGCATCCCCAGCCCTTTTTTATTTTTGTTTTTATTTTGTTTATTTTTTTGAGACAAGGTCTGACTAAGTTCCAAGATTGGACTCAAACTTGTGGCCTGCCTCAGCTTCTCAGTGCTGGGAATACAAGCCTGCACCACCATGCCTGCTTTCCGTCATGTAGTCATGTCTAACACCACAAATGAGGTTTTTTATTCTTTTTACCGCAGATGATGTTTGTTTAGATTTGTGTTTGTATTTGCCATTTTCATTGTACATCATCTCTTCCTTCTGGGACTTGCCCTCCTTCTAGGATAATTTTTTCTTTGTTGAAGTACAGGTTTTAGTGAAAGTGTTCTAGGTGACTCTCAGAATCTTTAGTGTTTCATTCTAAATGTTTTCGTCAGTGTTTAATAACTAAGCTTTTGTCACTTGTGAACCATGTCCAGGTATTCTTGAAATCCATCTGTGGTTCTAGCCAGATTGAATGATAAAAATGACCAAAAAATCAAAAGTTAACAGGTTTCACCCCTTGGATTTGTCAGCAGTTTAACTTTATAATGAATTTTATAAATTGGAGGAGATTAAGAACCTGAAATGAGGGCTTTTCATTTTAGATCCTCACAGGCTTCCTTCAGAGCCTCCTTGAGGCTGCCTAAGACACATTAAATGGTTTCTTGGAGCTCCTGAATTCTTAAGCTTTGATTCCCAAGCTTGGACATAGCTCAGATCACTGTGTTTTTTTATTACAGCTCAGAGAGTGGCAATAGTGTGAAAAGACTGAAACCAGACCCTGATCCAGTTGACAAGAGTCAAGGTGGGTGGCAGATTTTCTTTTACTCATAGTACACATGAACCACAGTAAAGGGCTGGAATGCATCGCATCTGTGAATGGATGTGTATCTGTCTTCAAACAAGCCTACCCAAGCTTAATTTGCCAAACTGTGTTATAACAGTTTATACCCAAGACTGTCTGCTGCCCTGCAAAAGTAATGTGCTAGAAACCAGTGGAACTGATAAATGACAGTTGTGCTTTCCCAGGACTGCTTACAAAGCACTGCTTGGATGACCTCTGCTCACAAAGGGTTTTTTGTCTGTCTCCCCCAAATGTCAAGTTTCTTGATTTTGCCTGAACTGCTCCCTATGGGAGGCAGAATGCCTGGCTCCTGTTGATTGTTGGAGTGTGTTGGGCCTAGAAGCTTAATGCAGTCTGTAGGAGTACATTTTATTAAAAGTAGGTTCTGTATAGCAAAAGAGTAACAGCAACACCCAGCTATCCCTCATACTCTGCAAACATTTTTTTTTGCAAACATTTTAAAAAGCATCCTTTTTTATTTTTTTGATTACTTTTATGTGGTGAAACCTGTCTGTATTTAATGGCATGAAGTTATAAGCAAGGGAGAATATTCCTGGGGACTAGATTAGGATGAAGAATTCAGGAGTCTATTTTCAGTTTTACTTCTGACTTCCTGTGGGATTGAAACTGAGCTAAATTCAGTGGGTCATCCATAAACAAGGCTTACATTTATTTCTCTCTCTTAAAAAGGATACTCTTGGTTGTTTTTTTTGTCTTTTTGAGACAGAGTCTCACTATGCAGTTCAGGCTGGCCTTGAGCTCACTTCGTAGCCAAGGCTGGTCTTGAACTTGCAACAATACTCCTGCCAGAGCCTCTCCCACCAAGCCCAGCAGGATGCTTTTTAAAATGTTTGCCTAGAGTATCAGGGATAATTGGCTGTTGCTGTTACTCTTTTGGTGTAGAGCCTACTTTTAAATAGGACCCTCAGCTGGGGAAATAGCTCAGTGGCATAGCGCCTGCCTGGCAAGCACAAGATCCTGTGTTTGATTCCCAGTACCTAAATACATATGTAAATAAATAGGATCCTCGGTGAAAACTCCCTTGCACTGAAGAACCCCCTTGGATCTAGTTTTTCTTTACACAGGGAAATAAGGTTACATATTTCTTATCCAGACCTATTCTATATATGTATAAACAATTATAAATATACATTTAAAACTACTTTATTATGGATAATTTGAGACATTCAACAATTGGAATAATAGTATAATGACCCTATCAACAATTTTTTTAAATGTATTTTTTATTTTGCAGTGTTAAGGAATCAAACCCAAGGCCTTGCACATGATAGGCCGGTACTCTACACTAAGCTATACCTCCCCAACTGTAATATTTTATAACAAATCCCAGAAATTTCACTTTATAATTCTCTAATCTGTATTTCTGAAAAGTAGGTTCTTTTTTGGCTTGTTTTATCAATTACAATACCATGATCACATCTAAAACAATCACAATAATTACCAAATGTCAAATGTAAAGTTAGTACTCACTTTTCCCACTTATCTCAAAAAATGTTTCCTTGGCAATTTTTGTTTTTAAAGTTAGAATCTAAGCAGGGACCAAACATTGTATCTGGCTCATAAAACTTTTTTTTTTTTTTTTTTTTTTTGGGCAGTACTGGGCATTGAACCCATGACAGCTATATCTGTAGTTCTTTTTAAATTTATTTTAAGATAGGACTTTGCTAAACTGCCCAGGCTGGGCTCAAACTTGTGATCTTCCTTCCTTAGCCTCCCAGAGAAGAATGTGCCACCATGCCCAGCTTCATAAACTTTTTAAAAAAAAATTGCTGAAATATAGTTTACTTACCATAACATTCACCCTTTAAAGAAGTGTAGTTAAGTGGTTATTAGTATGCTCACAGGGTTGTACAACCATCACCACTGTCTATTTTCAGAACATTTTTAATACCTGAAAGAAACCTTGTACTGTTAGCAGTTATTCCCCATTCTTTCTCCTCAGCCAGTGGCAACCACTATTTTTTCTCCCGCAGTAGACTCCTTTTTGTACCATTTCATATAAGTGGAATCATGCAATGTGTGGCATTTTGTGTCTGGCTTCTTTTCAGTCAATATAATATTTTCAAAGTTCATCAAAGTTGTAACATGAATTAATATTTTTTACTAATGGCTGAATAATATCTATTGTATGATATACCGCAATTTGTTTGGCATTTGTATTGTTTCTACTTTTTGGCTAATCGTAATCATGCTGCCATGAATATTCATGTACATGTTTTTGGGTGAAGTCCTCTTTTTAGTCTCCTGGGTATAATACATCTTTTTCCACACTTGTTATCTTCTTGTTTTAATTAAATCCATCCTCATGAGTATCTCATTGTGATTATGACTTGTATTTCCCTAATGACTAATGATGTTAAGCATCATGTATTTATTGGGCATTTTGTTTGGAGAAATACCTACCAAATGCTTAGCAAAAATTTAATTGAGTTACTTTTCATTGTTGAGTGGTAAGTGTTCTTTATAAATTGTGGATACTTGATACTGATTAAATATATAATTTGCAAATTTCTTTCCCTGTTTTTACTTTGTGTTCTTTGGAGCATAAAGTTTTTAATTTTGACGACATCCAATTTATCAGTTTTTCTTTATTGTTTATGCTTTAGGTATCATACCTAAGAAACCATTGCCTAATTCATGGTCATGAACATTTATGCTTGTTTCTTCAAAAAGAGTTTTATAATTTTAGTTCTTTTTTTTTTGGTTTTTCTCCGGTACCGGGAACCGAACTCACGACCTTGCGCTTGCCAGGCAGGCGCTTTGCCGCTGAGCTAAATCCCCAGCCCCTTATAATTTTAGTTCTTATATCTAATTTTTGTTTGGTTTTTTTTTGGTACCAGGAATCAAACTTAGGACCTTGTACTTGCTAGGCAGATGCTGTGCTGCTGAGCTATATCTCCAGCCCATACGTCCAGTCTTTCATTCATTTTGAATTAGTTTTTTGTTCATTTGTTTAGTTTTTTGAGACAAGTTCTTGCTGTATAGTTCAGGCTGGCTTTGAACTCACTGTGTTGCCTAGGCAGGCCTTGAAATCATAGCAGTCCTCCTGCCTCAGCCTCTGGTGTGTTGGGATTACAGGCGTGCACCACCACCTCTGGGAAGTTTGTTTCTGTTATAGCCTAAAGAAGAGGACCAGTTTCATTTTACAGGGATATCCTTTTGTCCTGGAAGTACTTGTTGAGAAGGTTAATCTTTCCTCCACTAAACTGTCAGGGCATTCTTGTTGAAAATCAGTTGACTTTAAATATGTGGGTTTATTTCTAGATTCTCTTCTCTATTTTGATCTTTAGGTCTGTCTTTATACCATTACCACATAGTCTTCATCACTGTAGCTTTGTAGTAAGTTTTAAAATCAAGAAGTGTGAATCTTCTAACTGCTTTTTCAAGAATGTTTGCTTATTTGGGGCCCTTTTGAATTCCATTTGAATTTTGGAACAAATTTGTTGATTTGTGCAGAAGCAGCCGAAATTTTGATAGAATTTGTAAGACTGGATTCATTTGGTAATTTTGCTATCTTAACAGTATCTTAGGCCGTCTTTACAATAGGTTATATCCACATATAGACACATACATGCGCATGTGCACACACACACAAACCTCACACACATAGAATAAGAATTTTGAACACATTTCAATAACTAAACTTGTCATCCTGTATCTGATGACTACTCCCTTGTAGGAACTGTTTGAATGAGTCAGTGGAAAGGAAGACTGTGTGGCTTCTTCAAACCATCTCGAGCAGACATCTTTTTTGTCATTCTGAATGCCTTCTTCCTTACCCCAGTGTTCTGCTGCAGAAGCCAGGCAAGAAATATCCTCCTTTGCTAGGATATACAGCGGCACAAGAATGATGCCCCTGAAGCTTGCTTCTGAGTCTGTCCTCAGCAGGGGGAGGATTTGCCCATTGGTCCCTCAGAAGCTGTCTGATCCTGATGGAGATTCAGCTTCCCCCTAAAGACCTGCCTGAGCAGAGCTAGTGAATGCACAAGTTAGCCCCATCTGCTCCCAAGTCACGCATCTGCCTGAATCCCAAGAACATTCTCTAATAGTAATTTTTTGTGTTAATTTGGTATGACAGTGTGATACAGCAAATGCAGGAGCTGGCAGGAAACTTCACCAAATGGGTGAGATCAGAGGGCACCATTTTGTTCTCTTTGGACAGTTAACTGCTCTTGGAATGAAATTTGTCAGAGTTGCAGTCTCTTTTCTTTCTTAAAACCTCCTACATAATTGGGAGTTTTGGTCTTTTCACTTAACCTAATGATGCCACAGTGGTCCATATTTCTTGGTCGCATATTTTTGTAGCTAACTTTTGTTCTTCCTTAAGGCCAGCTGTTACCCCCGTAGGCATTCTGAACTCGATCTTTTTCCAGTCCTTTAAATTCAGTTCACACTTGAAATACTTGATAAAACAATATACTTCACTGAACGACTTTCACATAAATTAGTGTTTGTTTGCCTGTTTTGTTTCTTTCTCTTTCTTTTTTGAGATAGTGTTTGGCTGTGCAGCCCAGACTGGCCTTGAACTTCTAATCTTCCTGTCTCAACCTCCCAAGTACTGGAATTATAGGTGTGTACCACCATGCCCAGCCATAAATTAGTTTTCAAACTAATTTACGTGGTAACTGAACCACGTACCTTTATAAGATATATATTCTTAAAACAACCATATTTTTCTGCCAGAATACTAAAAGCATCCTTTCATATGTTACTCATAACAGTAATGCATTGTTTAAGTAATAAATGATATAGCTTGATATCATATACTAAAAGAGTGTGGAAACCATCAGTTTTTCCCCTCACAGTAGTCACTGCATCCAGTTTTGCATAAATTTTTGCTGACATTGTCATACATATGCATCATTATATCTCCTTCCCCCAATTTATAACTTATACACACAGTTCTGCCCCTTGCCTTTTTCATTTAGCACAATATCCTGGAGATAATTCAATTCCAGTACGGAAGGAGATGTTTTGTTTTGTTTTGTTTTGTTTCTCCCCTCCCCTCTATCCTCCTCTCCTCTTTTTTCTTCTCTCTATCCCTCTTTCCCTCTCTGTCTCTATCTCCCCTCTCTCTTTCTTTTTAATGCTAGGAATGGAACTTGGTGCATTCTGGGCCTCTTCAAGAGCCTCAACCACTGAGCCATACCCCCACCCAAGATTCTTTCTTCTTGATGGCTGAATAGGAGCCCGTTACTTAGCCAGCTGCCTATTAATGGACATTTTGCTACTTTAAACAGTGCTGCAGTGAATGTTCTCTTAGGAACAGCATTTATGTTTGAAAGTCATTGCTAAATTTCTTAATATTCCTTCAGCAGCATATAAAGTTAGCTATTCCTCACATGGTATCCCTCCTAATATATTACTTTCCTATGCTTTAAGGTCAGATATGTCCTTTCCATAAACTGTTGATGTCTTGTATCGGCTTTTCTGTTCAGTTGTTGATTTTTTTTTAAACAGATTAGAATTCTTTATAATCTTAAAGACATTAGCTTTTGTGATACTGTTGCAGATATTTGCCTTGCTTTCTTGTAACCATATTATGACATCTCTGTGAGCATTGTCTGCCCTTCTTTTTACTTTCTGACATCTGCCTGTGTTAACATTGTTTGTTGTTAGCAGTTTCCTTCTCCTTGGTTGGAGTGACCCTGTGACCCCCTGAATTTTGCACACTGGCCTTGGGATAGTGCGTTCAGCTTCTCAGTGGTATTTTTGTGGACTCCTGGTTTCCTGTGCATGGAACCATGTATCATTTCACGTCTACTTGAGGTATCTGCATAGGTGAGATGATAGTGCATCAAAGGCAAACCCAGAAGATTGCTGTGCTTGTCAGACTGAGGCAGTGACTTGTGCACTCCAGTCCTTGTTTTCCAGTGAGCTCTGTATCATGTTAGTGTAGTATCATTTGACTCAGGTTTAGTTAAATGTTTTCTACTCTAAGTGGCCCATAAGACTGTCAAGTCATTTGACTCTCCTCACGAGGAAATGGGGATAATACCTATATAGTAGTTTGTGACAGTGATTAAATGATGCTGGAAACATTCAGAAGGAAGACAGGTGGAGTGGAGTGTTTTCCTTTATCCTTCACATCCTATATTTTCTAGATTGAGGCTTTCTTTCCTTTGCGTGGCAGGGTAAGTGGGGGTTTTCTGAGAAGAAAAGAGCCCCAGATACTTGGTGATGTTGTGCATGGTCTTAAAATGTTACCTGACTGGTTTCAGTTTTCTCAGTTGTAAAAGAGGAACGTAACTGGTAGGCAAAAGCTGTGTTAAATCAGTTTCTAAATTGCTGTCTCCCCTGTCAAGGAAAACCAGCCCTCCTTAATAAAGTATTATTCTGTAGCTAATATTTGGTGTTCAGAGTGTATCTACTAGCTGCACACAGAGCAAGTATGGGATGGTGTCTTAAGCTGAGGACTCAATAGAATTGTTAACGTCCCTCAGTTTTCATCTGGCTTCATCCCTACTGTTGAGAACATGTGGAAGCCTTTTATCTCTGGATGTCCATCTTCTGCCCTGAGAGTGAGTAAGAAATGATATTAGACACTGGTTCCTTTTATGAGGACAGGGAGGCAACCACCACCACCTGCAACATTGCAAGGTGTTTGTTCTCCTGCCCAAAGCTGGTGGGGAACAAGAGTCAGGCGTCCTAGCTGTGCCTCTTGACCTTAAGTCATTTCACCTCCTGGAGCCTCACTTCCTTTGTCAGTTTCCTTATTTATAAAATGAGGATGACAAGGATCTTGACCGCATAGGGTTGTTTGCAGGCCTGGTGACTTCTGGGGGTAAAGCCTTAGCACCTAGCCCAGCATATAATGTATGGACCTCTCACTTCTGAAAAGATGGTGACTAAAAATCCTCTTTTTTGCAGAGGCCTCATCCTGTGTGTCTCTTGGAAGTACTTCCCTGAGTAGCCCGTCCATTCACTGCCCCTCTGCTGCTGTCTGCATCGGCATCCTCCCAGGCCTGGGCGCCTACTCTGGGAGCAGCGACTCTGAGTCCAGCTCAGACAGTGAAGGCACCATCAACGCCACGGGGAAGATCGTCTCCTCCATCTTTCGAACCAACACCTTCCTTGAGGCGCCCTAGCTCCTGTCCTTCCCACAGGGAGCGCCCCTAGAACGGTCGGTTGGACTGTCCGTTCTGCTGCCAGGCATTCATTACCTCCCTCCAAAAACTCCTTTGCTGGCCCCTTGTGCACACCGAGACACTTTTAACCTTACCTAAAAATGTGCCAGATCCACTTGTGGCCAGAACTGTGTTTGGTCTCCTTTCCACTGTAGTGCAGATGACCAGACCAGTTTCACTGCCTCTTCCTCACTGATGTGGTAGGGTGCGTGTGCCCCACAGAAGCTTCTCTGACAGTGCCCAGGGGATCACACTGCTGGCTTGCAAAGGGTGCTGCTGGGTTTTGTTGCTTTCTTGTTTTCTCTGTTTCCTTTCCCAACAGCACAGGAAGCAAGGGCAATTGTTGGACAGGTGTTACTTAAAATTTATTGTAGACAAATGTGTTGTTTGGTTCGACTGCATTGTGGAGCATGTCGAGACAAAGCTGACTGGTAGTGAAACGGAGCATTTCCCTGGAACTAAGCCCTCCATGATGTCGTGTGCTAAGTAAAAATAATGAAGTCTCTCTGTGGGGGATGTCAGTTGACACCAGCCTTCATTGTGAAGTTTCCCTTACTGTTGGCCACTCCTTTCCTCTCCATCCAATCCCACTTATATAGGAACGGGCTGGTAACGAGCAAGCTTTCATCTTCTACTCAGATTTTTTCTCTGCCTGGCAAGTTACTTTGTTTGTGATTTTGAAATAAAAATTTAGTTTAAGACTCTAAACCTTAGGGAAACAAGCAGAGGCCTTATTTAACGTGGCCGGAAACCAGAACCACTAGTATATGTTAGTGAGATGATGTTTTTAACAGCTTCTGCAACCCAAATACTGCAAACTAGTGGGACACGCTTTTGTGTTATGACTGCACCTCACTGAGGCACTTCTCTGTTTCATGCGTATTAATACTTGTGGCTTTTAACTGTGGAAGCCATTGCAAGCCTAAAGGCACTGCCTGAGCATTTTTCTTTCATCCACTGCACCATTGCTCTTTCCCTTCCCAAACAGCAGCTCCAAGGCCATGAGCAGCTAAGAACCAGAGGAGCTCAGCCCTGAGTGGGTGGGAGGGAGGTGTTGAGAGGAGAGCTTATGGAGGCCTCAAGGACAGAGGTGGACATGAGCCTCAGAAACAGTCTAGGTGTCCCCCTGCCTCAGAAGAGGGAGCCTATACAGCTCTTTCTTTCCCTTGGTTCCTGCATTAACTGTTTCTGCTTCCTCAGGTGTGAGACTGAGCAAGACACAGAGGGAATGTGTTGACACTGTGATGCAGCTGACAGGCAGAGAAGCTACTCAGTGTTAATGTGGGCAGAGAGGCTTCTGGGTCTCATCCAACACACTTTTCCTCTTCCAATTTGGTGATACTCTGGGGCCCACTGGCAGATGGTGGCTTCCTCTCACCTGTAACTGATGCCTCTTGAATTCTGCCTTCTTTTCAGAACTTCTCGGTGCTAATTGTTCCTAACTGTCAGTATGGGTGTGTCAGCTGCATCCTCACAAACAGGATGCTTCAGTAAAACTAGGCACCTTCCGCCTTGCTGCTTCATTGTTCCTGCGATCGTGCTGTCATGATTGTAGCAATGCCAGATAATTCCAGGAGTCAGGCCAAGGAATCAAAGTCACTACCTTTATGTGGTTGGACTTTTCAGAGGCCATTACTATACCTCATGGCCTCTGTTGATGTCTGAAGAAGTTGACAAAGGGTTGCAGGGATTAAAACCATATAGGGACTTCAAATCCAATAAATCTGTCAGAGAAGGAGCTCTTGCTTCTCCTATACTGCATCCTGGGCCTCCAGGTCTCTCATCACAGTCAGATTGGTTTATGCAGCTTGAGTCTTCAGACTGAGATCTCCGTGCTCAGGAAAGGTTAAGTCTCTGTGGTCTTTCCATCATAGTCTGCTGTGCCCATCAACATCAAGCTTTGGAACTAAAATGGCTTCTGTAGAAACTGGGTAGCAAAGGAGGGTCTGGACCTATCAACAATGGAAATGGCCTTGGGAAGCACCCAGGGTAGATCTCGTGGCTCTGTCCCAAAGAGTGAGATACATAGTTATAGAAGGAAACACTGCTTAGAACCAAAAAAATGTAGTACAGTTGGCCTTCCAAGTTGGCTTCTGGATTCAACCAATTACAGATCGAAAAGTTTGGAAAAAAATTGCGTCTATACTGAACATACACAGTTTTTTATTTCTCTAACCAGTAGCATGTAGCAGCTATTTACATAGTCTTTGCTTGGTATTAGGTATTCTAAGTAAGCTAGAGATGACTTAAAGTATGCTGAGTTCTTCCCTTCCCATTGCCCTCTCCCTACCTAAGAGAAACTCTGCCTGGACCATCCTGCTGCTTCTGTGTCTCCTTCCTGGGAACTCTGCCTTGCTCCATCTTGTGCACATACACTGTGCTGATTCTGAACTTGGAACCAGACGTTTACTAGCTGTGTCACTTGGTCAAGGTCCAGAAGGGCCCACTTTCCTCCCTGGGCAACAGGAGTGATGCCACTGTCTTCCTGGAGAGGGTAAGAGAACATGTAGATGAGGTGCTTGGTACAGCGCCTGATACTCAGTGGCAGTCCTCATTAGTGCTGTTACTATGGGCCTCCTTGCTTCTGAGTTGGGCGTCAGAGCATGTGTTAGTGTGGCTTTCTTGGGCTTATTGGTCACACTGGCATTCCTCAGTTGCAGTTAGAATGCTGAAATGCCAAAGGGTCAGATCTGATTGTTACTGCTGCACCATCAGCTTCTGGTGTATGTGTCTCTCTGCTAAATGTTAATTGCTCTGGCACACCCGGTTCCTTGGCTCGAGTGTCCTAACCGTGGGTATATGGCTCAGCTGTCATCTTAAGCCCCTCCAAAAAAAACAAGGAGAGCTCAGTGGCAGTGCACAGCCATTTGGACTTGGGTGCTTTTTTTTTTTATTTCCTGGCTTGCCCAGCCTGGTTACGCATACCAGGGTGGAATGCAAATTCTGCTCAGTGGGAGGCTAGAATCTTGGCAACACTTTCACAGTCACAGGTTGAACACAAGAAGCCAGTTGCACATTCATTCCTTAGTGATGCTGGCAAGGGCCAGAGGTTTGCTCTCTTACCTGCTGGAGCAGTGATGTAGGGGAGAAAGAGTCTCGGCCGTAGCAGGCAGAATGTGGCCCCAGCTCCAGAGGAGAGCTTTGCAGAGAAGTCTTCACCGAGCTTTATGCTGTAGGGTAGCCTGCACTCTTCTTCTTTCCGTACTAATCATGTACGTAATCATCCCACTTGTTGATCTCTTTCATTCAGTACATACTGCTGTGGATGTGGTAGGCAGCTTAGGGGACTTGTGTGTTATTTAAATGGATGGTTATCTTTCATCCTGAAAATGATCCTGTGAAGCAGCCTTTGTCTGCATTTTATACAGGAAACCAAAATTCCCAGTGGCTGAGTGACTTGCCTGGCACCTGACAGCTAGGTGACAGAACAAGAACTTTCATTTGTGCTTTTAAGTCTAGCTCTGTGACTTCAGGGAAAGCCTTAAACAAATGCCAGTGCCCAGGCCTCAGTGGAGGAGTCTGCAGGCCAAGGTCTTTCTGGTCAGGTTTCTAAGTAAGTCTGCCTTTCAGCTTGCTGTCCATATGGAAGAGCCAAGCAGCAGCATGAGGGCTTAGAGTTTTAAAAAAGCAGTGCACCCTTGTCTATCTAATCTTTAGGCACTGCCACCCGCCTCCCATGGCCTGAAGCCAGTCAGAAGTACAGAGCCTGCTTGACTTACTCCCATAGTCTCAGGCAGATAGGGCTGGGACTCCCACCATGTGAAGCCTGAAAGTGGCCACTGTGGCCCACATGCCTGGTGTGTAGGAGCATGAACACTGGGGACAGACCCAAGTGCAAGGCAGGGACTGCCTTAACGTAGCCCAGTAGACATCAATCTCCCCAGTTTTACCAGCCTAGGAAATTACTCTGGGGAGTGGTAAGGAAGGAGGTGAGAAGTCCGCATAAGTGGTCACCCCAATACACCCTCCTGAGGGCTAACAGAAACATGGGTCTGGGAGAAGGCTGCTGTCCTGGAGAGGCCTCTGGCCAATTGGCCTTGACAGATTGCCCCAGGTTGGGGTGGCACAGACCCATCTGGATGTGACGTCCACTAGTGACTTCAGCTACCAAATGAGAGTACACAGGCAGTCTTGTGCTAATGTCTGTCATATAGCTAGCCAGGCAAGTGAACCAAACAGAGCTGGATGTGCCAGTACTGGGTTCAATCCATGTGACTAGCCTGGGTAGTAGAGGCACTGCCTTTCTGAAAGCTCATCCACAAATCAGGGTTCTACACATGTGAGCAGCCCTCTGAGAGAAGCGAAGGGTATACTTTAGCTGGTTCCTGGTGGCTACAGAAGCCACAGAGATACTGAATGAAAGCTTGGGGTGAAGGTTCCCCTCACTCCCGACCAGCTAAACTGGCTCCTGAGCTTGCTGGGCACTTGTAGGTGGGACCTGCCTGGTACTGCCTGGTTTAAGCAGGCCACTAGTAAGGGCAACTGTCCTGGTAGTGTGGGTGATGATAAATGACCAGTGGCAGTGGAGTAGAGGAACCAAGGACATCAGTCAGCAACTTCAACAGAAGAAGCCCTTGCAGAGCCCAGGAAGGCACTGGGTGCAGCAGAACCAGTGTGGGCACGGAGTCAGGCAGATATATACTGATTGTAGCTTTGCCTTAAGTAGGCCTGATGCGCTGCTCCATGTGCTTCCACGAATCTGAAGTAGTTCTAGTCAGGGGCTGTGGGAAGGGTTCGTCAAGATGCTCCTTAGGTGGGGCTGGGGATGTAGCTCAGTGGCAAAGTACTTGCCTAGCATTAGGGTTCAATTCCCAGTGTGTGCATACGCACGCACGCACTCCTGCAAAGCCCTCTTCAGGGAGCTGGAAACAGTGCTTAACAGAAATGTTACCTGTTACTGGTTACACATCAGCTTGTGTCAAGGGGCGGGAATTTCAGAGGAGGTAGATGAAAGAGGAAGGGATCTTATTTATGTTGAAAAGGCAACTGGGAGGAGGGGGTGGAATGGCTCCCGAGAGTGGTCCCCTGGCTGCTCGCTGGGCCTGTGTCCAGAGAGGGGAATGCAGTAAGCAAGGATGGAGGCATAACTAACCCTAGAAAGTCCTGAGGCCAAAGAGGACACTGCAGACCACAAGGCCTGAGAAACCCAGAGGAGGACCAAGTGGGTGGCAGCAGCTGCTGTCTAACTGGGGGTGGGAAGGAACGTAGGTCATAGTGTGTGGCCCAAGAGGAAGAGGAAGAGGAAGAAAGTGGGAGGGGTTGGCTCCAGAGATACTGGAGTGGGCTTGCACATTCTCTTCATGCACGATATCAGTGTGCACAGTGTGCCACGTTCTGTACCGGTTTCACCATTGTCGGGGAATGCAGGTCCTACACAAGTGACCACACCAGTTCCACAGGCTTGCTGTGTAGGCAAGGGATCTTCCAGTGACTTTTAACCCATGGGGTCCCCACTGAAGAAGGAGCTGACTGACACAGGGACATCTGAAACTCCTTTATTACCCTGAGTGTAACAAATGGGACACAGTCACAGTATAAAAAAAACAGCAGGAATTGGGTGCAGGCAAGGACACAAAGTGTGCACCAGGGACACATTCCTTTTTGCAGTTAGTTATGTGGAAAAAGCCAGTTATGATCGTAAAAATTTTATTCTCTTTAATAACAATAATAATTCCACTAAAATTATACAAAGTACATTCAATACTTAA